GCACTTTGCTGCGTTGAACCTCACTACATTCACCTGATCCCACCTTTCAGGTCTCTTGAGGAGCATTTCTCCTCGTGGGTCCCCCGTGTGCTGCAGCTCTTCCTAGAGAGGGAAAGGGCTCCGCTTTGTTCCTCAGCCCTTCAGGATCTGCTTCCTTCTGGCTTCAGCAAGGGCAGAAAGCTGCCCTGCACGCATCTTCATGTGATCCTATGGTTCACAGGAGGAGAAAGCCTTCAGAAAGCCCTCTGTGGAGCACTGAGCCACGCCAGGAGTGACGATATGAACTTTGTTCTCGTTTCTTGCCAGGGGTGGTGCTCGTGTCGCTCTCAAAATCATTAAAAACGTGGAGAAGTACAAAGAGGCCGCCAGGCTGGAGATCAACGTGCTGGAGAAAATCAACGAGAAGGATCCTGAGAACAAGAAGTGAGTGGTGTCAGCAGTACAGGAGGGAAGGCATTGGCTCAGCCTGGCTTCAGGGTGGGTGAGAGGCGCTGAGTCCTTTTGCAGCTCGGTTTCTGCTTCTTGGTGGCATTTCGGGTCGGGTTCTTTGGGGTAGAAACGCAGGCAGGAAGAGGGAAGCTGCAGCAGGGGCTGAGTGCTGCCTGCGGATCCTCTCTGCATCAGAGCCTTTCTCCCCAGCCTGTGCGTCAGGATGTTTGACTGGTTCGACTACCATGGCCACATGTGCATCTCCTTCGAGCTGCTGGGGCTCAGCACTTTTGATTTCCTGAAGGACAACAATTATCTGCCTTACCCCATCCACCAAGTGCGGCACATGGCCTTCCAGGTGTGCCAGGCTGTGAAATGTAAGTGCTCCCTGCTCTTCAACCTGGACGTCCCATCCCTGCAGCTCCCGTCCCCGGTGCCGGTTCTGCCCTGGGGGTTTGGAGCAGTGCAGGTTGGGCTGTGATGCGGCTCTGAGGCTCTGAGGCTCAGCCTTCCTGCCCTCCTGGTGTCGGCTGTGTGCTTGGAATGAACCCCTTTCCTTTTCCTGATGTTTTTGATGCGTGTGGGCTGGCGGTGACCGAGGGCTGTGTTCTGCTGGTCAATCTGATCGATCTTTGAGCTTCTCTTGAAGCGTTTTGGCCCGGATGACCCCAACTGTTCACATCCAGCCCCATCCGTGGGCCAAACCGGTGCCGGTTGGAGCGAAACAAACCTCTGTTAGCAGCCGTGCTTTGCTTCTGCTTCTCAGCTCTGACTCTGTTTGCTTCCTCAGTTCTGCATGACAACAAACTCACTCACACCGACCTCAAACCTGAGAACATCCTCTTTGTCAACTCCGACTACGAGCTCACCTACAACCTGGAAAAGGTAACGCTCTGCTTCGGAGCTCGGGGCTCGGCTCCTTGCTTTCCTGCCCTTCGCAGGCAGAGGGGTTTGGAGCCGTGCTGGCTGATGGGGGGAGCTGTGGGCAGGGGTTGGAGCTCAGTCTTGGTCTCGGAGCTCCTGGGTAACCAACGTCCTCCTCCGTCACGCAGAAGCGGGATGAGCGCAGTGTGAAGAGCACGGCCATCAGGGTGGTGGATTTTGGCAGTGCCACGTTTGACCACGAGCATCACAGCACGATTGTGTCTACCAGGCACTACCGGGCCCCTGAGGTCATTCTGGGTGGGTACTGCATGCTCTGAGCTCGTTGGCCTCCCGAATCATTCAGTAGCTGAACCTGGGAGATCAGAGTTGCTCCATTTGCGGAGCCAAACCTGCAGCCCTGCTTTCGAGGTTGGAGGCAGGCAGCAGCTTGGATCTGGGTGTTTGGCACTGCTGTCAGCTGGGCAGTGCGTCAGGAGAGCGGGCTGAAATGGGAATCGGTTTTCTGATGGCTTGTTTGCTCTTGAAAGGGTGAAAGAGAGAAAACGAAAGGGGAAGGGGGGAGGATTTGGAATCCTGGGTGGTGGCTGCATCTCTTCTTTACCAAGCGTTGTTGTTTCAGAGCTTGGCTGGAGCCAGCCCTGCGATGTCTGGAGCATCGGCTGCATCATCTTTGAGTATTATGTGGGTTTCACCCTGTTCCAGGTGAGAACTGTGCGCTGCCTGGCTTCCTCACAAGTGGTGAAGGAGGACGTTGGCTGCTTCCCAGCGCAGCCTGCGGCCTCTGGGACCCATGGAGTTCCCTCCATCACTGCAGTGTTGTAGAGATGACCAAAGCGTTGGCCGGCGAGGGGCTCCCGAGCTGGGGATCCTCCAGGGCTTGGAGGCAGAATGACTGGAATGTGTTCCATGCTTTTCCTTCACGTTTATCTCCCTCAGACACACGACAACCGGGAGCACCTGGCCATGATGGAGAGGATCTTGGGGCCAATTCCTTCTCGGATGATCCGGAAGACCAGGTGAGCGAATCCTGCTGGGCTCTGCAGCCTTCCCACCTCCTTCCTACGCCGTGCTCAGCGTTTCCCTTCGAGGCGTCGCGCTTTGCAGCTGCCTGTTGAGCCGGCCCTGCGGCCCCGGCGCTGCTGTGCCGCGGTTGGGTGCTCGGGTGGCACCTGCAAGTCGTTCCCACCTCTCCTGACAGGAAGCAGAAGTATTTCTACCACGGCCGTTTGGACTGGGATGAGAACACCTCTGCCGGCCGTTACGTTAGGGACAACTGCAAGCCGCTGCGGGTAAGGTGGGGCGGGTGGGAGCACCGGATTGCTTCATCCTTTTCTCATTGCAGAGCTTTACAGTGCCAGCCCCACTTCTGAAGATGGTTCCTGTGGGCAAGGTTAGGCCACTGAAAGGCTCAGACCAGCGTCCTGCTGAAAGGAGCCTTGGCTGGCCCACATAAAACTAGGAAGACTGCGGCAGCCTGAGCTTAACGTGAAGTTGGATGAGGAGGAGGGCAAGGAGACTTCAGGAAGTGCCTGGGAAGGAAAGGAAGGGGGGGGGGGGGTGCGACGCAACAGGCCCACGCTTTTCGGGTGGCCTGGAGGTGCAGCTTAGGATCAGGAAGGTCTGAGCAGACCTCCTCTCCCCCAGCTTAGCGTTCAGCCCCGCGCAGCGCGCAGTGAGCGGCACGGGGAGCAGCCCTGACCTCCCCCTCCTCCCTCCCCAGCGCTACCTGACCTCTGAGGCTGAGGACCACCACCGCCTTTTCGACCTCATCGAGAGCATGCTGGAGTACGAGCCGTCCAAACGCATCAGCCTGGCTGAAGCCCTCAAGCACCCGTTTTTTGACGTGCTGGAGATGGAGCCGAGCACAAAGATGTGGGACTCTAGCAGAGACATCAGCCGGTGACGCCACAGGTGCCATCCTGCCCTCGGATTTTAGCCCCCGTGGAGGCCCGTGCGATTTCTATTCAGACATTTGGTGCTTTTTTTCTTCCTTTCTTTCTTCCTTTCTTTTTTTTTTTTGATACATACAAACCTCCCCGGACGTGTTTGTAAAGCTGTTAATATGTGAGATACTGTAAATAGCTCATATTCTATATCGGCCTCTGAGCACTGCAGGCCCCACCTCCTGCTGCCAACATTGCCAGGGGGGCGAGGGGGGGTCTGCATGTCCATACTGTAAATACTTTGGTTCCCGTGTTGCTTTGTCTCCTGCTCAACCCTGCGCCCCTCAGTGTACAGAACCCAGGACTCACAGCTCTCTGTAGCTTCTCTGTTTCCGTGTAAGTTATGAAACTGGTGGGACTGCATGGGAATTATTTTTTTGGATCGCTGTCACAGCCCATCCTCACACCAGAGTTTTATAAGGATTTTGTACAGTTCTTTGTGGGGGAAATAAATATGAAGTGAAGAAACTTGCAGGGCCGTGCGCGGAGGGGCAGCGGGGCTCAATGGGGGCAGAACGTCGCGGCTGCTCCATCTGCCTCCATCCTGTTTGCCAGCACGCAGAGGGATAAAAGGCAGCCCTGGTTCTGCGTGGGGCTGTGGAGGGAGGCAGGGGGTGACAGCAGCTCGTTTTGATGCACGTATGATCCTGAAGTGGGAGCTGTGAGCCTGCGGTATCACAGCTTTGCTGCCTGTACCCAACCCTGCCCCAGTCTCCCGGTGGGAGTCGCAGGGAGCTGCAGTCTGTCTGTCCCAATATAAAAACCAAAGCACAAAGTGCAGCGCAGCGCCCAAATCCTGAATGCGCAGCTTTTAATTGCTCTGCCCTGAGGTGCTGCTGGCCGGGCTGCAGTGGAGGATCAGAGCTGTTGTGTCTGCGTCCAAAGGCTGAGCAGTGTTTTGAGGTGGGGATGGAGGCAGCTGCGGGCTGAGCTGTGCTGCTGCTCCAGGAGCTGCCAGGTTTTGTCCTGGTGGAGGCCAGTAAGGAGAGGAATCCCCCAGGGCTCTGTTTTGGGAGCAGCGCTCTTTATCAGTGACGTCAATGACAGAATCGAGTGCATCCTCGGCAAGTTTGCAGGTGCCACCAAGCTGAAAGGTGTGGATGAAGGGTGGAAGGAAGGGCTGCCATTCAGGGCGACCTCGACAGCATTGAAAGGTGGGCCTGGGGGAGCCTCATGAGGTTCAACACAGCAAAGTTTGGCACTCGGGCCTCAGGAATGCCAGGCATTGATGCAGACTGGAAGGAGCAGCTGTTGAGAGCAGCCCTGCACAGAAGGAGCCGGGGGTTCCGGGGGGTGAAAAGCTGAACCAGCAGGGTGTGATTGCAGCTGGGAAAGCAAACGGGATCCTGGGCGCCATCAGCAGAGGGGGGGCAGCAGGGACAGGGAGGCGATCGTCCCTCTGTGCTCTGCTCTCTGAGGCCTCGTCTGCAGCACTGCGTTCAGGGCTGGACACCCGCAGTACCGAGCGGCAGAGCGGCTCCGTGCTCAGCCCGGCCCTTGCACTGCAGGCCTGGCGGCCCGCGGTTTCCGTGCAGGCCCCGGCGCGCCGTTGCCATGGAGACGGCATTGCCGTGGAGCCGCGCTCCCAGCGGGCCGCGCGCTGAGGAAACTGCAGAGAGACCGGAAGTTGGGGGGAGAGCGTGCGCGCCGCCACGTGACTCCGAGCACGTGGTCGCGTCGGGTGGTCGCCGCTTTCGTTCCGGCCCCGCGCATGCGCACAGCCCCCTGCGGTGCGGCTCTCGGGAGCCCCGAGCGGCGCCGGTGACGTCGTGGGGGCGGCGGCCAATCGGAGGCGCGGGGCGGGGCGGCGCGGCGGACTCGGCGGCGGTTCCGCTCCCGGTCCCGGTGCGGCCATGGCCCAACACGGCGGCCCCGCGGTGCTCCCGGATAACCCCTTCCAGGTGCGTGAGCTGCGCTGCTCCGCGGCTCCGGGCCCGGTGCGAGCTCCCGGTATCAGTTCTCAGTATCGACTCCCGGTCCGAGCTCCCCGTCTGAGCTCCCGCCGCGTCTCTTGCAGGACCCCGCCGTGGTGCAGCACCGGCCCGGCCCCGACAGCGCGGCGCTGGACGCCTATAATCCCTTCGAAAGCGGCGCGGTGAGGATCGCGCCCGGATGGAGCTGAGCGCTCCGGCGCTCCGGGGCCGTTTCCCGGTCCGTCCGGTGCTCCCCGGCCGTTCACCGCTCCCTTCTCGCTCCGTCCGCAGCCGCCGCCGCCGTACCGCGCTCCGCCCGAAACTGCGCCTCCGCCGCCGGCGGGAACCGCGCAGCCCCCGAGGAGACCGAGCCCAACCGAGCCGCGGAACTACGGCTCCTACGGGACGCAGGTACGGAACCGGCGGCCGCGGAGGCGGGGAGGGGGGGAAGGAGGGAGATGGAAGCCGAGCCCCGTAACTCTCTCGTAGGCCTCGGCTGCCGCAGCCACGGCCGAGCTGCTGAAACGGCAGGAGGAACTGAACCGGAAGGCGGAGGAATTGGACCGGAGGGAGCGGGAGCTGCAGAACGCGGCCCTGGGGGGCGGCGCCGGTGAGCGGCCGCAGCTCCTCGCCCTTCCCTTCCCTCTTTCCGTCCCTTTTCTTCCTTCTCACCGCTTCCACTCGCAGCCCGAGCCAACAATTGGCCCCCCCTGCCCTCCTGCTGCCCGGTGAAGCCGTGTTTCTATCAGGACATCCCCGTGGAGATCCCCGCTGACTTCCAGAAGACGGTCACTGCCATGTATTACCTCTGGATGGGTCGGTCTGCGGGCAGGGGGGGCTCAGGGGGGCGGTTCTGCTCCAAGCCTTGCTTGGGTCGCCCAACCGAGCTCCTTTCTCTCAGCCAGCACCGTCGCTCTGCTCCTCAACTTCTTGTCCTCGCTGGCCTGGTTCTGCGTGGATCCCTCCTCAGGTTCTGGTTTCGGTCTCTCCATCCTCTGGGCTCTGCTTTACACGCCCTGCTCCTTCGTCTGCTGGTACCGGCCCATGTACAAAGCGTTCAGGTGCTTCGGGGGGACCTGATTGCATCCTTCAGTACCTAAAGGGAGCCCCAAACCAGGAGGGGAGGCAGCTCTTGGGCAGGGGAGATGAGAGCAGGGAACGGCTGGAAGCGGAGGGAGGGCAGCTGGAGGCTGGGGGTCAGGGAAGTTGTGTGCTGGGAGAGCGGTGAGGGGCTGAAGAGCTGCCCAGAGAGGCTGCGATGCCCCGTCCATCGCTGGAGGGCTTGGAGGCCAGGCTGGATGGGGCCCTGGGCAGCCTGGGCTGCTGTGAGACGTGGGCAGGTCGGGGGCTTTGCAGGCGCTGTGGGGTCGCAGCTTGGGGACCCCTGAGCTCCCAACCCAAACCATCTGTGATTCTATGATTTATTTCTCTTTAAATGGAGCCTGATTTCCCCAGCAAAGAGCCCCAAAGCGAACAAACATCCCAACCCCACCGCCCTGCTTGTCCGCGAGCTCACAGCATGGTTTGGGTTGGGACCTCAAGGATCACGAAGCTCCAACCCCACAGCGCACACAGGGCTGCCATCTTCCATATCTAACAGCAGCCCAGGCTGCCCAGGGCCCCATCCAGCCTGGCCTCCACCACCTCCAGGGATGGACGGGGCATCGCAGCCCCTCTGGGCAGCCGTTCAGCCCCTCACCGCTCTCACAGTAACGAACTTAATCGACTTCATCAATCCCTTTCCCCAAGAGATGACGGCTCTCAATCCGTAGCCCCTTCCCATAGGGGATCCCTGCCCTGGGGATCCTCCTCTTCCCTCTGTTTGTGGCTGCACGTCCAGGGCTGTGTGCTGTCCTTGCTTGGAGGATTTGAGGGCTGTGCCTGATGTTCTCTCTCTCTTTTTTCCCCCCAGGAGCGACAGCTCATTCAATTTCTTCGTCTTCTTCTTCGTCTTCTTTGCCCAGAACGTGATGTACGTCCTGCAGGCAATCGGGATCCCAAACTGGGGGTTCAGGTAAGCTCTGGGCCGAGCCCTGGGCTGAGGAGGAGCCCCGGGGGGCGGCTGAGCCCAAAGCATCCCCCTGTGCTTCGCTGTGGTTTTGGTTTCTGCAGCGGTTGGATCGTGAGTCTGATGGCCGTGCGGGTGAACAGAGCCGTGGCGGTGATGATGATCCTGGTGTCTTTGCTGTTCACAGCGCAGGCAACGTTGGGTATCGTCATGTTGAAAAGGGTGAGCAGGGGGAGAAGGGGGCGTGGGGGGGGGGGGGGGCGTGGGGGGGCAATGGGAGAGAAGGGGGGAATGGGGGAGAAGGGGGGGAGTGGGGAGCAATGGGGAGGCAATGCGGGAGAAGGAGGGGGCAGTGAGGGGAATGGGGGCAGAAAGGGGGGGAATGGCGGAGGGGAATGGGGGGAGAAGGGGGGGATGGGAGGCAATGGAGGGAGAAGGGGGGCAATGGGGAGGCAATGGGGGAGAAGGGGGGGCAATGAGGGGAATGGGGGGGAGAAAGGGGGGGAATGGCAGAGGCAATGGGGGAGAAGGAGGGCAATGGGGGGCAATGGGGGGCAATGGGGGGAGAAGCGGGGGATGGGAGGCGATGGGGGAGAAAATGGGGGAGAAAATGGGGGAGAAGGGGGGGGCAATGGGGAGGCAATGGGGGAGAAGGGGGGGATGGGAGGGGAATGGAGGGAGAAAGGGGGGGAATGGCGGAGGCAATGGGGGAGAAGGAGGGCGATGGGGGGGCAATGGGGGGAGAAGGGGAGGCGATGGTGGGAGAAAGGGGGTGATGGGGGAAGAAGGGAAGGCAATGAGTGGAGAAGGGGGGCGATGGGGGGAGAAGAGGAGGTGATGGGGGGTGAGGGGGGGGCGATGGGGGGAGAAGGGGTGAGAAGGGGAGGCAATGGGGGGAGAAGGGGGGAGAAGGGGAGGCAATGGGGAAGAAGGGGAGGCAATGGGGAAGAAGGGGGGTGATGGGGGGAGAAGAGGAGGTGATGGGGGGTGAGGGGAGGCAATGGGGGAGAAGGGGGACAATGAGGGGAGAAGGGGAGGTGATGGGGGGAAAGGGGGCAACGATGGGGGGCGACGATGGGGGGTGATGGTGGAAAAAGGTGGGGGAAGGGGTGGGTTCTGGCTGTGCTCAGTGCTGTTTGCCCTCTTGCAGATCCACTCTCTGTACCGCCGGACGGGCGCCAGCTTCCAGAAGGCCCAGGAGGAATTCGCCGCCGGGGTTTTTTCCAACCAAGCCGTTCGCACGGCGGCAGCCAACGCGGCTGCGGGCGCCGCCACCAGCACCTTCAGAGCGCCGTAAGCGAGGCGCTGCCGTGGCTTCTGCCCTCAGCGGGGCGAAATCCGAGGTTTGCACTTTCGTTGGACCCCCCCCCCCCTTCCTTCCATCCCCTCCCCCCCCCCCCCGGCCCTCCAGGAGCCGCGGCTTTGGGAGCCAGGCGTCTCTGCTCTTCTCTCCTCCCTTTGCAGGCTGTGCTGCGGCCCCTTCCCTCTGGGGGGGTGGAGGAGGGGGGCGCTGCTGCCTTCCAGCACTGCTGGCTGGGATTCTTCCCCCCCCCCTGCGCCCCCCCCTCCATCCCCACAGCCCCCAAGATGTGAGATCCCAGAAATGGCTGTTGCCCGTTCTCTCTGTTACACACAAATCCCCTTTTTTCCTCTCCCTTCCCATTGCTGCCCATTCTTGGAACCCACGCAGCCCTGGGGGGGGGGGTGGGGGATCTTTGAGTTCCTTCCCTTTGCAGTGGGACCCCCGGGGCTGGCTTTGCCCATTGGAGGGGGGCTGCACAGGAAGCCCCCCCCTTCGCCCCCCCCCCCCCAAATTCCCTGCCCTCTCGTTTTTGGTGGTGCTGGGCTGCGCCCGCTCTGATGCCTCCCTTCTGTGTTTCCCTTTCCTTCATTGCGTTCTGCCGTGGGGCAGCAGCTCCTCCCCCCCCCCCCCTTGTGACCCCCTGTGCTCCACGTCCTGTTTCTGAGCCCCCCCCCCCCACCTGTGGGGGTCGGAGGGGGGGGCACTGAGCCGTTCCCTGCGTGCCCCTCACCCCCCCTCTGTTGCCACCTATGGGGTGGCAGCATTTTGGGGGAGGGGGGGGCTGTGAGTTATGCTTTCAGCATCTCTTGGCTGCGGGGTGGGGGGGGGTTTTGTTCCTGCTGCTTTTTTGGGGGGGGGGTCCGTGCCTTCACCTGTGCCCAGAGGAGGAGGGGGGGGGGGTCCGGCTGCAGCTCTCTGCCCCTCTGGGGGCCACTGTAGAGTGACAGCAGCTGTGCCCCCCCCCCCACTGCTGCCTCACTCATCTTCTGCCCCCCCCCCCGCGTTGCTGTGCCCTATGAGAAACCGCCTTTGGTTTTTAATTTAAGGAATAAATGAAGTTGAAATCCGCCGGGCTCCATGGGGGGGGGGGGGGGGTTGGGGGCTCCGTTTGGGGCAAGTTTTCGGGGGGGGGGGGGGGGGAGGGGGTGGGGCTCAGTGCAGGTTGGGGTGGGGGGGGGGGCTGGGAGGGTTGGGTGTTGGGATCGGGGGGGGGTGTTGGGATCTCGGGCGGGGGGTCGGTCGGGATCTCGGGCGGGGGGTCGGTCGGGATCTCGGGGGGGGTCGGGATCTCGGGGGGGGGGTCGGGATCGCGGGGGGGGGGTCGGGATCGCGGGGGGGGTCGGGATCGCGGGGGGGGGGTCGGGATCGCGGGGGGGGGTCGGGATCGCGGGGGGGGTCGGGATCGCGGGGGGGGTCGGGATCGCGGGGGGGGTCGGGATCGCGGGGGGGGTCGGGATCGCGGAGGGGGGGTCGGGATCGCGGGGGGGGGTCGGGATCGCGGAGGGGGGGTCGGGATCGCGGGGGGGGGTCGGGATCGCCGCGGGGGGGGGGTCGGGATCGCGGGGGGGGGGGTCGGGATCGCCGCGGGGGGGGTCGGGATCGCGGGGGGGGGGGTCGGGATCGCCGCGGGGGGGGGTCGGGATCGCGGGGGGGGGGGTCGGGATCGCCGGGGGGGGGGTCGGGATCGCGGGGGGGGGGTCGGGATCGCCGGGGGGGGGTCGGGATCGCGGGGGGGGTCGGGATCGCGGGGGGGGGGGTCGGGATCGCGGGGGGGGATCGGGATCGCGGGGGGGGGGTCGGGATCGCCGGGGGGGGGGGGGTCGGGATCGCCGGGGGCGGGGGTCGGGATCGCCGGGGAGGGGGGGTCGGGATCGCGGGGGGGGGGGTCGGGATCGCGGGGGGGGCGTCGGGATCGCGGGGGGGGCGGGGGGGTCGGGATCTCCGTGCAGAGCGCGGTGGGTTTGGGGGGGACGGACGGGACACGTTGTGGGGGGGCTCCGCGCGGGGCGGTGCCGGCGCCGCATCCCCAGGCCGGGTGGGTGGGACTCCGAGTCCCGGCGTTCCGCGTAGGGGCGGCCCTCGGTTGCCGGCGCCTCCGGGGCTCCCACCGGGGCTGCGGGGCGGGGGGAAGCGCTCCCGGTTCTGCCCCTCCCGGTTCTGCCCCTCCCGGTTCTGCCCCTCCCGGTTCTTCTCCTCCGCATCGGGCGCGGCCGCAGCTCCGTGACCCGGCGGGGTTGGGGTCGCGGGGCGGCGATGCCCGGCGGCTCTCCGTGCCGCATCCCGTCCGCCCGTTGGGGCCGGGGGGCGGCGGCGGAGGAGGGGGAAGGGGAGGGTGGGGGAGTTGCGGCCGCCGATAAACAACGGCGGAGGACGCGGTGAGAGCGGAGAGGCGGCGGTCGGAGATCGGGGCTGGTTTTTAATTCTTATTATTGTTGTTATTGCTGTTATTTCTTCTCTCCCCGCACGGAGCCCCGCGCGGCCGTCGGACGATGCTCAGAGCTGAGCGCGGCCCGCAGCGCTCCTCCCGCCCGGTTCCGCCGTACGGTTTGGGTGAACCCCGACCGGCAGCGTCCCCCCCCCGACCCCGGCATGACCCCCCCGCGACCGGAGATCGAGGAGGAGGAGGAAGAGGAGACC